AGTTTATTCAAATAAAATAGCTTAAACTTAACACACATTACGGACGCGCACCAGATCACAAAGTTCCGCAAACTGATCGAAAATCATTCATGTTTCAGTTATTAATAGCTAAAGAACTATTTACAGCAAATGTTATTTATTTTTCCACATAATTTCATTCGGACTTAACAGCTTTATTAATTATAGTTAAAAATTAAAATCTATTTACAAATTTACATCGACACAAGTCTGCACAATAACGTTACAACTGTTTACATATTTTATGACTAATTAATTCTAACATAATATTTTATAAAATGTTGAAATAATTTACACACACTGGTAAAACATACAAAAATAAATAGAAACTTGACTAGCATGAAATTTCAGTCCTCGAAAGTTGCTGAAATTTAGTTATAAGAACACATATTGGGCTAAGTGTACTTACACACAATTCTTTTAGAATCCATTAAATCACACATAATTACTTTTCAAGAATTATTAGCTTGGATTTCCACTAAATTGTGATTAATTTCTCTCCTTTTCTCCCATCTAATACTGTGATAATTACAGGGATAAAATCGTCTCAGTTCACTTCTCCACAAAGTCTGCAATATTGACAAAGTGCTAAAAATGAGTTGGTGAAACAAATTTAAATTGAGAAACTTACCCCAACTTTGTTAACTTTTTTCATAAATTACCATAATGATTGTTTAACCGTAAAATTTTAAAGGGGAATAGCTGCTACTCTTACTCTTGTAGGAACAGACACAAGCTGAGGGAAATCGGTATCTATCGACGTACGGTTTTCCATCTGCATCTGCAGTCAAGAGCAATTTTTCGACAAACTTTTGACGACACATTGTTTTAAATTTTTTAACATTGTCGTAAAACTTGCACTTTTGATTCCTCCTGAAAAAAATCAAGTCAATTTGATTAACAACCACATTTAAAAACTTACACACAGACGTCTACGGACACTCCTTGTTTATATCTGTCCAAGTTATAAATAAATTTCAGCTCATTTTTCATATTGTAAGCCACCTTTGGGTACACGACACTTTTACGTGATAAGCAAACATAATTTTGATTATTTTTCTGATCTCGGGTAATTAGAGGCTCGAGTTTCTCCAAATTTCGAAAGAATTGGGAGTACTGCTTTTCATTTTTTAAAACTTGCTGAAATAATTTTTCAGGGTAATTGTCTGTATGTTCACAAAAGGTACGATTTCGGCAATTTGGTCCCACCGTTGCATACAAAAAACCGTTTTCAGTTTCAGCCGAATCCGGAAAAGTCAGCAAGCCCTTAGCATCAACTAAAACTATAAAAATATTCAATTTTGCTCATTTTTTATCAAACACAAATTTTAAAACTTATACAATTAAAAAATGTAACTTTAGATAAAACACACCTAACTCTTTGATAGCACATAACATCACAAAAACCCACATTTTTTTAAATATTACACATAAAACGTCCAACTACCACTCTTACAAGAACTACACTGTCCCCTGAACAGGTAGATCTGACACTAATAGCAAAGGATTAAGAGAAGTTAATAACACTTACCGTCCAGTGCCATGAACACCATTTTCTCTAACCGCAGGAGACCGGCTCCGAAGGGCAATTTCATTACAAAATTCCTTCACAAGAATCAACGCTTTGGTATCAAATTTCCCTTCAAGTCTTATACTGTTTACTTGCCTTTTATTTTATTATGAATCTAATAAGAATAAAAGTTTCAGCAAAAAAATCGGAAACTTAAGCAGTATCAAATTTCAGCTTGGGCCATCGAATTTTTATTTGTAAGATTAAGGATAAAGGTTTTAGTAAAAAAATCTCAAACTCAACCATTTATTTTTTTAAATAAATTTTTACTGGTCGAAAATTTTAAGAAAATTAGTTGTCGGCAAACTCTCCTAAACTCGGTTAAAATTAATAATTGGTTCGTATGCGCAAAGACAGGCGGAAGGAAACCAGAATAAATCCCACACAGGTTTGCCGTCTTCATCGGCAACCAAGAGTAAAATATCGCTATACTTTTGAACACATTTCGTCCTAACTGCTGGCGTTTCTCCAAATGATCTACAAGCTGTTTCACCCCTAATCAAAATGTAATAAAAACTATTAAATTGCTCTACTTACACACATTCCTCTGTTTTTACTCCTTGTTTGTACTTATCAAAATTATAAACATATTTCCATTCATTTTTGACGTTGTAAGCCACTCTCGGATATTGAATTTGGATGTGGGAATCGCAGATATAAAACTCAGTTGGTTTGTACTTCCGATTTTTGATCGATTCTTCCTGTGCGACACTTTGCGGAATAAAATATGCCTCTTCGTATGTTGTGTTTTTCAAAATTTCGTAAAATTTATTTACTGGGTAATTCTCAACGTCTTCACAAAACGTTCTATTGCCGCTACATTTCGGAACAAATGTTTCTTGCTCTTCCAGTGAATTTGGGAAGATGATCCCTGCAACAAAAACAATTAACTAAAAGTCCATTTATTTCTTAATAATAAAACTTACTTTTTCTTGATGGAAATCCGTGAATAAAAAACTAGAAAAAAACTATAAGACAACCCACAAAAAGGAAAAAAGAAATAACGTACCACTTTCATAGTCATAAAATAAACATAGACGTAAACACACTTTACCCACATTCTAAATGAAGTTTGATGCGTCCAACTACGAAGAATAATGTTGAATAGAGTCGTAAATAAATGATTAGGAAGGCGACAAGGCACAAATTTTTCATAAGAGGTGGGGGAGAGGTTAATAGTGTATTACCGGGGTGAAAAGAGAAATTAGCAACTATCATTAACATTACATTAACGGTGCTGAATAAAATAATGTATTTTTAGTTACATATAACATTGGACTTGTATTTTACACAATAGAAATCCCCCTGCCGTTTTTGTAATAAAAAGTTCAATCACGTATTCATTTCACATCACATATGTTTTATTTTCCTTTCCCTTTCCCTTTCGATCTTAAGGAAATATCGTCAGCACCAAATCGGGACAAAAAACTTAGATCTTTTCTATACGAGCAACAGCACGCTGACGGTAACTGGAATGTGTCGGGGACGGGATCCCCATTTTCAGATAAAGACATCATCCTCCTCAACATGTATTTCTGCTTACAACTGGTTATATAGCCATTAGCCCTATCTCCGATGAGATCGCAAGCAGATCCCTCCCTACAACACACAATGTTACCAAAATAAAAAACAACTTTCTACACCCTTCACTTTCTACAAATTTCGGTCCTAATCCCTTGGATAAACCCGTCTTCCTCTTGGTTGATTATGACTTTCCATTTGTTGTTTTTATTTATGCCAACTCGAGGGAAAATCGTTTTGGATATACTCGTGCAGATGAACGCCTCGAAGTC